TCAATTTTCAATTGGATTCCTTTTAGAAAAAATATTAAAGAAATAAAATCATTCATAATTATATCAGTCATTATTGTATAATTAATCTTTTACGTAATTAAGGGAATCGATAAAATTATGAATCTGTAAAATTTAATACGATCATAAAAATAAATATAATTGAATGCACCTCAAATTTTAAATAATAATATATAACATATATATGTATATATATATATATATATATATATATACATATATTGCATACAATTATTCAATATTACCAAATAAAATGTACAAATGTATTTAAATTTTATCGAAATACTAAGTATACTGGTATCTTTAATTAAATATACCCTCTGAAGATACAAATATTATACACATACCTACACATATATAACACATTTATACGTATATGTGTATATATTTTATTATTCATGTATATATTCCTGTAATGTGTTTTGTTTAAGAAAAATTATTTAAGTATTTGTAATACTGCACGAGATATATTCAAGAAATTTGCAAAATTTTATTTTATTAAAACTATTAATACTATAATTTTTACTCAGGCTGTATTATTTTATTTAATTACTACCTAATTATAACTTTCTAAATTTATTTTATTATTCAAATATTCAAAAAGATGTCTATTAAAGAATATAATTAAAGAATATTATAAAATTCGGTAAATTTATAAATAGTTTTTAATTGCATTAAGATCCATATTATCAATTACTATAATCAATAAATCAATAAGGATAAAGAAAAATATAGTAAAAATTTATAACCTAATCTATAAAATACAGTGGCTTTTATATTTAGCTAAACTTAAGCAACTATTCAATGATAATTTATTTTATCTTTTTTAATATTACGTATGTAATAATAAACTTTGCATTATGTCGCGTGCGATGTTAAATGCATATGCATGACATTCGTATATCACTTTTCTCTTTTTGTTCTCCATAATTTACCGATACACTCTATCTTACATTTATTCTATTTATTTAATCATTATATAATATGTTGTGCGTCGGCTATTGATCTCGCGCTTCTTAGCATAACTTCCTTTTCTTCGTTTTGGACTCATACAGTTTTCCTTCTTTTGATTATTTTATTTACTTTCAATGTATCCTTTAATTTTCTTACGTTTCTTTATATATTGATACCATCTTATATAATATCCTTCAATCATCGATAATAACCAGTATGCTTCCTCTCTTTCCTTTCTTATTTGATAATCATTTTCTTCGTTCATTCTGTACGAGCATTCATCGTATAATTTTGTCTATCTTCTTCATTTTGTCTTATCTCTCTAATGTCTCTTTTACAAATGAGCTTCTTGATGGCTCCTGCTATCCAGTTCTCCTCTATCATCAAGTTGTATTGCTGAGTCACATTTTCTTCTATAATCATCACGGAAGAGCCGATTATTTGCGCGTCATGTTAATTACGAATAACCTCACCGGCTGTAATTCATGCGCGTCCGCCTGGCGTCCACATAAAGAGCAAAGGTGTATTAAAGAAGATGAAGCTACAGACTTCAGCATCCAACACGACCTGTCGACGCAGCAAGCAGATAAGAAGATAGCGCGAGCATGTAACTTGAGAACCTTCTCTCTCCTACAGACATCCACCCTGGCCCCCGACGTTCGTGCTTTTATTCCAAAAAGCAGGAATAAAAGCAACCTTTTAAGCATTCTCGTTGTATCGACTCATTTGATAATTTTAACTTTGACTTTATAACGCACAATACTAGTTATTTCATATTTCAATAAATAAGTAAAATTCACTCACTTTCTTAAAGTTCATAAGAATTTTTTTTATAAATGTAGTTGAAATAATTGGACTACTTTTATCTAATTTATTTTATAATGTAAATTTGAATTTTTATGAAACGGAAAATATTATGCAAATAAAAAGTGATATATATATATATATATATATATATATATATATATATTTATATATAGATAAATACATAGAAAGAGAAAGATAGAAGTTTTGTTATTAACTCAATATTTATGTAGTTGTATTAGAGTTTGAATAAAGCTTAAATTCGAGTTTCAAATATTCATAAAACTGTATAACAAATAAGTGCTAGTGTAAGTAAGTAGCGGTGGTTGTACCGAGTAGTGTATAACGAAATGGAGGATTTGAATTTAGACGAAGTGCAGAAGAGTCGACAAGAATTTTAACACTTGTCTCTCTTCTCTCTTTTTTCTTCGTCATTTTAATGTGCTCATTTTCATTATTTTACATGTATAGTACATGTTTAATAATAAAATAAGAAATAAGTAAAGTAAATTATAGAATAATGAACAGCAAAGAACAACTATTGATTTTAAATGAAATTTAATGAAATAATATATATATATATATATATATATATTAGTGATATTGTTGAAAATACTTTTTCTTATTTATTTGACGTTTATTATTTCTTCTGCAAATGCTTATATTGTAATATATATTGAAATTCATTATATTTTTTTGTCTATCTTTTAGAAAGTATTTTATTTTAATTCCTCCATTTAGAAATTATATATATTTCTGTATAACAACTGAATGCACTAAGTGAAATTATAATATCTAATATTTAAAAATATTTACTTTAATGCAGTTGCAATTCTTTAATCAGAATTAATAAATTTTCATTTTTCTCGTTCTCATTGTACCGGCATTTTTTATAAAATCATATGGTACGATAAGCAGTGCATAAGGCAACTGTAAATTTTTTATGAAAAACGGAATAAAGATGGGCTTCCTTCTCTTATTTCATTTCCTTAGCTTTCTGTCTTCCTTTCTATTTCTCTCGCTATCTGTTTATCTCTCCAATATCTCTATCTCACTTATTTATTTTACTCTATACTCACCGTGAAAGGATTTGGAGTAGTTTTTGTTTAAATTCCAGATAAGTACTTTGTGTATCAAAAGATAAAGTAAAAACTATTATTCTTCCATAAAAGGCTCATTTACTAAAATAATTCACTTTAGTAGTTAAAGAATTTGAGAAACACTGTAATAAATAATAAAATATTCTATTGGAAATTAATTCTCTAGAAAAGATATGACACTCGAATATAAAATGTTTATTTACGATGCATTGGTTATATCTTGTTATAAGATATAAAAAATTTTCACTGCATTCGGATGTTAGATACACTGTGATTGACCTTAAAATATATGAAATACATTAAATTTGCATTCAATACAAACAAGAAAGGAAAACCTAAATTCCATATGAACGTGGAGTGTGTTCGATTTATCTTCTCGGTCATAGAATACGCAAATATATCGAATAAAAATGCAAGTTCACCTATTCAGATGAAGAATAGAGGAAAAAGTCGAATTCATATACGAATTGACGATATTCAACATTTGGACCATTTTAACCTCCAATCAATATGCTCCATCTTCGATAATAAAAACTATATTAGAGAATAACTAAGCAGATTTTATTTTACTTTCCAATTTTTCAACAGATAAATATTGTCCGTATGAATAAGTATGAAAAAATGTTACAATAAATGAATGTAAAAAATTGTATGAACAATATTGTCATAATTCCTTTAACTGTTTCGCTCAAAAAAAAAAAAAAAAAAAAAAAAAAAAAAAAAAAATTTCGCTATTTGCTTTAATAGAAAATTATTATAATTTTGGCCTAATTGTACTGTTCAAGATAATATATTTTTATTGCTCGTACTTCAAATATAAATTTAGATAGACAATTTCAATCTTTTTAATAATAATTAATACATTATGATTAATGTCTATAATTCTATACTTTATGTAACAGGATTTAATTTAAATAAAAGAGAAAATGAAATTCATTATAAATAATTGAGTTGATGAAATTTTAACGAATATATTGTTTCGTGAATGGTATGTAATTGGATTAACAGAAGTTGAAAGACACATTGTATTTAAATATTTTAATAATGTTATGTCTTAGTTGTATTTACGGTTAATATTTAAAATATATAATCTATTTACAAAGATGTAACATAGATTTGAAAAATTTAGAAACGAATAAAAATTTCCAATAGCCGAATACATTCTCTATTTATTTCTCAATAAAATTCGTCATTAATCTATTCATTGTGCATTAGCTTTATCTTATTTATATTTATTTTCAATGGTACTAGATACATTGAATTTGTTCTTTAAAAAAAAAAAAAAAAAAAAAAAAAAAAAAAAAAAAATTCAAACCCTCTTCTTCATCAAAAAACTGACGCATAATAATATAAACCATATTAATAAAAATAATTTCATTCAAAGTAGTTTCATTCTTGCTAAAAAAATGATTGCATTCGCCCAATGAAAATATTTGTTGTTCTTCTTGTTTGTATTTGTACCCGTTAAACTGTACAAAAGTTTTGACTAAAATAAAAACTTCTACCATTAAAATATATAATGATAGTGTAAGTACAATAAAAGATACAACTTCAACTTTTCCAGTTCCTTCTCCTTATACATTAAAATTTAAATATGTATAGGTATAAATAAAAATTTGTACTTCAATTTACGATATTATACTACATTTTATACAGCAGAGGTCTAATCATTAATGTTAATTGTCGATATTTCTTATCAACGATCATTAAAATTTTTACAATATTTTTATCGTCTCAGAATAAACTTCTAAAATTTTGATTTAATTAATATATATATTTTATATATCATTCTCCTTTTTTTTTTTTTATATTTTACATACTATTTTTCAATATACTACTTTCCATCTCTTAGTTTCGCTACATTTATTATATTTTATTTCTATATTGTATAAAAATTAAAACAATGTGAAAATATATGACTTTTAGCCTCATATGAATGGCTGATACAATATATTATTTTTATAAATAAATTTATGAATCTATGAAAATGACCAATCATGCCTAATCTTTTAATACCATAATGAACTATAGTATGTAAGTCGGATAAATAAATATCGAATAAATAAAGTCGGATAAAGCACGGAATCACAAGAGTATAGGATTAATAGCATTTCAATGGATAAGATATCGAGATACGTCTCTTAACAAAAGATTTTCTCCCATTTAATGATTTATGGTGGTTAATTTGTTCTGTAATATTGTTTCTTTATTAACTTGAATGGTAAAAATGTTTAAAAGAACATTTCGAAAACAAAATATTCTGAAAACATCTGTATTTAATATATGTGTATATATATATATATATATATATATATATATATATATATAATCTTCATATGCAATATTATTTTGTATCAATAATGTTATGTATTAAATGTGTAAGAATGCTTAATAAAATTTTCTACTATTCACTTGTACTATAAATGAGAAATTATTGGTAAGAAGTCAAGTCCATGATATTGCAAAATTTGACAATTGCAAGAGCAGAAAAACTAAGAAAAGCAATGAAAACCCATAATAATAATGCTGCGAAGCAGATATTGCAAGTCCGAATTCTGTTACCGTATTCTGTTAAGTATAAGTATTTTCCGTATTCTGTACTGTCAAAGATAAAGTATTAGAGGTTTTAGAAAGAGATAATCATTTAAAAGTTCTGTAAAACAGAAATTATCATAAAAATTCGATAGATGTCGATGAATTGTATAATTATCCATCATCGTTTTCGCAACTAACGGATTTCGCCATATGATCAAGTGTTAATCCGACATTAAGGTTTCCGCGTGCATTCGAATGTCATATGCATTTAAATGCGTGAAGAGTCGCGTAGTAAATGGCGTAGAGAGACGAATAAAACAATTGATTTCACATTAGAATGTTAAGGTTGTCTGCAGTTCTCGCACACAATGAGCGTAATGAGTCAGCTCCGAAGTTTCATCGAGATTTATGGATAGTGCCATCAATGAGTGTTCGCGTGGCCCGGAAGGCGATGGGGTTATCGATGGTAGGAAATAGCTACGTAGCTTTTTCACCTCGTACGTGCACCCCCGGAGCTTACGTGCGTACCAATCGAGTGGCGCGTACATATTGATTCGATGCAGTCGAGCAGAGGCCGGCCCTTTCGATAAATCCTTGGAGCGTACACGGAGGCTTACCCGATTATTAACTTTATCCTGCAGACGAAGAGGCGATATCATACGTTGGGAATTAGGACGAAACTGGGAGTGTAATATGTTTACTATTACTTATGGCTTCGAATTTGTAATTGTAGCATGTGCAGACAATGAGGTCGAAAGGAGCCTTGAGGCATTTAACGAAAGCTCGCTTTTCGATTTTCGCTTTTGGCTTTTCGCTTATCGATAATAACGACTTGATAGGATTTAATTTAAAGTCGTTATAGGAAAGTCGACGAGATCGCAAGATTATTGATTTTCAAGAGAATCGTTTGTTTAAGAATTTTCTATATTTTTTCATTAAATTTTATAGTTTTTGGCTTCGTTTAATCACAAAATTTTATAAATCAGAAGCTTCGATATGCATTAGTATAGTTGATTTCCCAATCGTGTTGAAAATTCCAATGTTTATGATTGTATTATTAAGTTAAGAATGGCCAACCATCAAACCAACAATGAAGGATTTATTTTTTCGATCGTCGCGTTAATTAATTGAACTTTTCGAATCGAATGATTATTCGCAAAAATTATTGGTCATTTGCACGAGTAAATGTGAATGTTTCATGTTATTCCTAAGATTATCCCTTAGATTGTATAAAAGAAAAAAAAAACATTTTTTCTGTACTCTACAATTCTGTTAATGCAATGAATTTCTTATCATACCTCTCGATTATGTACATTATAGATAATGCAATTAGCGATTATTAAAAATATACCAGCATTAACTATACTTTTAATATCTATTTTCAATAAAAATGCTTTACTCCTGTATACGTAAAATTTAGGAAAGTCATGTCGAATAAAATTCCATTTTTAACAGAATTTGCCAGTCGTTTTAATTTTTAATTTGCTTAAATTAAAATTTCAAAATACAATTTTATCCATATATCGCGCAAACTTTGATGAAAATAAGTGCATGCGTAGCTGCGAAATGACAATATTAATTAAATTATCTTTATAAATTTATCTTTGCATTATTAATGAAATGCTTGCAATTATAAAACTATTATTAAAGGTATAATCTTTTTTTACGTAAAGTTTAGTTAAAAATGTAAAAATGGAAAAAAGTTTTGAATTAATGAGATAATCTGTTTAAACAATATTTTTCAAAGAAGTATATAACAAGGAAACTTGAAAAGGTGAAAGTTTCAAAAGTTGGGCAGTCAAAAAATCAGGTCAAAATGAACATTTCTTAAAGTTTCAATACTTGGGGATCTACCTTCCTTCATTTTTCTGGTGTACTCACCTCGTAGCCAGATCCCGATGTACAAAGTTAAGGTTCTCTAAGTACCTCATCCCCGATGCAATTTGTGCAGCCATGTAAATGAGGCAGTTGAAGCTGAAAGGAGAGCGAATCTACTGTAAATCCGTATATTCGCAGTTGGAAACGAACCTCAAATATTCACTTAACTCTGCTATCACTCTCTTATGCTTTCTCTCACTCTCTCTCTCTCTCTCTCTCTCTCTCTCTCTCACTCTCACTCTTCAGCTTACTCATTTGCTCAGTCATTCCCTCAGTCATTCCCTCAGTCATTAGTTAGTTCAAACTTTTACTATTACTCAACATTGATTATCATTGATTTAACAGCAGATTTAAATTAAAGTTCAAAAATATTAAAAATAATAAAAGAACAGAAAAAACCCTTCGCTCCCGTCCGCAACACAATCAATACGACACTTTTCACAAAAAATCTCATCGACTCAAGCCGTTGACTGATTAATTATTCGCTTTGATCATTACACGCCTTCTTCGCGCCTACGCTCCAGCAATGATTAAGCAAAGCGCCAACACATACCACCAGAATATAATAAATCTCCGCGTTGTAATGTACGCAAGGGAAAGATTTTGAATAGGTACGAAGTCATGCGTACCTCAATGTTTTGACGCCGATAGGCATCGAGTGGGCGTCCTCGGCAGTGACGTGACTCTTGAGGAATTGACAGAGATCACCGTGATCCAAGTACTCCATTACGACGCAGTATGGCTCCTCGCGACAGCAGGCTCCTAGTACCCGAGCGATATTGCGATCCTCGAGCGCAGCCAAGATTCTCACGTCTCGTTGGAAATGAAGCCTGAAAGAAAGTCGAGCGATTCGAGCATTTGGATACTACATCGCGCCATCATTTCGCATCGCATCCTCATCGATCTGCTCTCTTGCACGGTAAACTAACGGGATTTACATGCGTTTGAGAATGACGGAGATAGGTGGGTCATAGTGGCGCGTGATAGTACTCGCGGTGAGGAGAAGCGGGGATGAAACGGGGATTGTGAATGAGGAGTGGAAAGGGGTGACGGGGGGATAATGGGGCAGTGGGGTATGTTGGGGTGGGGGTGGGGGGTGGGGGGGGGAGTATGGTGGTACAGGAAGAGAGATAGATAATAGATGAGCTCGCGATAGAAATTTAATCGAAATACATGGAAATTAAATTTCCCTTTTTTTTTTTTAATTCCGAACGTGGAGTTTCACTTTACAGTGCCCATTCATAGTAATTCCATCCGGCCGATTTACGACCCCATAAAAAATGATTAATTTCTCAATGTTATAAATATTTGCAAACTTAAAGCGAACGTTCAATTTCCGATCTCCGTTGATTAATTATTATTAATAATGACGAGCGTGGGTGGCTAACTCGTACGCTTAGAATTATTAAAAATAATAATAATAATAATAATAATAATAATAATAATAATAATAATGAAAAATAAATAAATAAAGATTATTAAGAGTAAAGACAATAAACACGATGATTAACTTACGGGATAAAATTGTTATTTAAATTTTTATTATTTCATGAAATATAGAATAAAATTTTGGTTACACGGGTGCCCATCCCTTCCCTAATTTCAATCGCTTCTTACTCACTTTATTAATATTAATAACAAAACTTTTATAAGAAATTCATCATTAATAATCGTAAAATTAATTATTCACCGGGAACGAATAAATGTTGCCATTGCAATCAGTACTACAAGCGCCATTATCAGCCGACTCTCATGCCTTTAAGGCCTTGGCTCCAGTAGCTACTCCCACCTACTAAATTTGGTAAACATATTTGCATGTATTGCTCGTTTACAAGACCTCGTAATCGTCACATCACCCCCCCCCACACACACACACACATCCCTCCCAACCCCCAAAAACCTTCTCCCCTCCAACCACCCGCTCTCAACCCCCCACTCGCCACTTGTGCGAGTAAATTGAAAATGGATAAACGTCGGGCGAACCACCCCCCGCGCCCGTATAACTACACTCGCCAACGTTTCACTTAGCCCTCGTGGATTAGTTGCCATCGTTCTCTCGCCTCCCCATTATTGCCTTATTAAGGCAACTGTATATAATGACGCGAGGTAAGGCAAGGCGCGGACTTGCATCGAATCCCAGCGAGCTCGGGCCCTTCCTTGAACCTTATGGGATCACATTGAGCGAGCACTTTGGGTTTACGCCTCCCAGTCACTAAAGCGCGCGACCTCGTAAGCCGATGGCATTTGAAATGCCGTGGAGTTCCGCGTTACTCCGCCCTGACTCTTTTATCCAACGGTCCATTGTTGTCGTTAGGTCGATGCGGAGACTGCGTTAACCGCCAGGGAATATCAACTCGCCCCTACTTTGGCTACTTTCATTTTTTAACCTCCCAGGCTTTTAATTAACAATTGCGGTTTAATTATTCATAGTGCCGCGGGTTGGATAGAATTTGCTCGTTCCAACTAATGTTATTCGAACGGCTCGATGACCATCCGCAGGCGACATTACAAAAACGTTGATTTATCCATATCGTAATCGAGATTTGAAGTCTCGTATTATTGGACTTTTTTGTTGTAAAGGATCATCATCTCTATTGCAAATTTGGCATCCGTATCGGTCGCTGGTCCGCGCGAGATTTTTAAATCTGAAAAAAAGTGCTTCGATCTTATGGCCCTTATATCGCGATCACCTATCAACACGTAAGAAAATAAATAACGCGATCTTTTTCAATGGCTAGTTATCGACTATCCAAGACTCGGGGAATTGTTCTCGCACGAGCGTAACCTCGAAAATCCAATAAAGCAGATAAACGTTAAGTATGAGTGGCCGAATCAATTTGTTTCCGCTACATAAGCAAGGGTGACGCACGCCGTACGCTCGTGTATAAAAATAAAGAGCGCGGGGGGGGGG